TATACATACTTGATATTGTTACTTCCTCCAGGATCAAATCAATTTATTGAATCAGTGTTCACAGACGCCAGTTTTCAACACTGACCAGTTTGTAAGAATACTTTTACATACTTTTACTGGAGTAACGTTCAGTTTGAGAGTTCTACATTAAATGGAGAATATCAACACAGAGGTTAAGGGATCTGAATACTGCTTCCACTTCCAGAGTTTTGTCTGAGTCTCCATGAGCGACTGCAGGAAAGCGTTCTTGAATTCTGCGTTGCTTCAGTGCACACGTTGACACTCGTAGTAAAAACTGACGGCCCTGCCCTCGGCCCCCACCCTGCTCTCCACATACCAGCAGTGCACCTGTGCTTCTCCATGTGAAGAGGGGTGGTTGGGAGAACCTGAAATCTACTTTGAAGTGATCTGCTTGTTGTCGGGACATAAATATGCATGAGACTTCAGCAATTTTACAACAGCAAAGATGAAAGGCTCTCATAGAGTCAGTTTTCTCACAGGTTGAGGTCAAATCCATTTTTTTTTTTTTAAAGGTGTCCTTGTTTTTATTGTGTAGCGACTTCAAGGTGTTTCTGAAGTTTCATTTTTATCCTCAGAAACTTTGGCACATTACAGAAACTAGAAAGTTGTGTTGTTAGTGTACGAGCACAAACCATATATCACTTCATTCCTATAAAAGCCTGTAGATATACACTTTGATGTACTGTCCTTGAACTTAATATTATGTTGTTTTTTGTTTGAAGGCTCTGAGGTCAGTTTATGTGTCTTTCTAGTTATGTTGTGTTTTTTATGGACATATTGTGTCTTTTTGAAATGATAGTTTCAGTGTCTCCTGGTGGTCATAATGCATCTGTCATTGCTACTCTTTAAATACTTTTACTTTACATTTAAGTAAAGTTTTTGTAAACACCAAGGGTGATTTACTTTTTGAACAACTTTATAATAATGTACAGCTAATACTTTCCTCATCTCTACCCCAGTACAGCTTGTATAAACATAATACTGTATATTGAATATTAGGGAAATGAGTTCATCTTTTAAGCACCATCAGTAAATCAAACTTTGTTCTGATGGGCCCTCCCACCAGGCCAGTCGTCACTCCAACACCTCTGTCTCCAGACAGGATATCCTGTCTGATTCTGAGGGAGGGGCTGGATCTCAGGAATCCTCATCCCAGCCCTGACACTGGGACGTGGACTGGGTCTGAGTCTGAGGAAGCCTGGGACAGTAATGAGCTCACTTTGCCCTCGTCGTGTTTAACTGGTCACCATGCCTTTGTTTCCTGTCTTCATTGTTTTAGACGAGCAGGAAGGATGAGACATTGCGGAACCATCGAGGCTATTCTTTCTCGTTGTCACTCTGCTGCTGTAATGGGTGATAGTTGGAGTTTTGCTGGATTACTCACTCGATTGGATTGTAAATGAGTCCAGTGATTCCAATCCCCAGTTTCTTGGGGGCTACATGGAAACATTGTGATGTAGTTTTATAAAAAGTTTAGAAATCCATGTTAATTTTTGAATCTTAATCTACTAATGATTGAAAACCACATGTTAAAAGTATATTAAAACGTTTTACTGAGATAGTAGTTCAGATAGATAAAAGTGATTCCCAAATAGTTTTGAACTTACTTTCCTCATATCTCTTGTTAACACAGAGCTGATGGTCCTAGACGAGACATCATGATGAAAAAGAAAAAGCAGCGTCCCACAAAACCGACCAAAGGAGGACGAAAGAAGAAAAATAAAGTATGAGTCTAAACATAGAAACATCCCTAGACTCATCTCATTACATCATAGCCAAGTGCAAATTAGACACTACATCCAAAGTTTATTTTCTTTTTAAATGGGAAAATGTCCAACTTTACTTGTTGTCAACCCTGGCCAGCGTTTCTATCACATGTAAACTTCATGAAGCATTTTTACAGGTTTCCATGGACAAAACCCACGAGGAGCTCAGATCCAACAGGCCAGAGTTTGAGGGTTTCCTGGATCAGATGATTCAGTGGTTTTCTGATCATCAGCAGCAGGTTGATGAGCATTTCAGTCCCAAGGACGCAGACCGAGGTGGATCAGTCAACCTGAAGGATTTCCAGCTCGGTATCTACTCCACACATTCATCCTCAAATCTGTGAGATAAACGTCCACCCTGTAAATTGTAAACTGTAAATTATAAACTAAAGATCTGTCGGGCTCAGATTGAGACTCTCGAATCATTTCTGCTCCAGCACCTTTGAATGTCAGATAAGGATAACCTCTAAGGAAAGACAGATTAGGGAAAGATATGCGGGACAGTGTTAACCAAAAGCCACAGTGTGGTTGTATTGAAGCATTTATGCAGGGTACTGTGAATCAGACTTTTGATAATGGGAGCAGTGGCTCATTTCCTCTCATCCCCTCCCAGATAAGAGCAGCTGGCTCTGGGAAACTAAACCAGGACAATGTCCCCTTTGTCTGTCAAACTTCAGACACACAGAGTAAACTCTACTTTTGTACTGAAGAGCTCCAAGAAGCTCAGACCTGCAGGACAATACTGTAGTTCTGGAGTTGATTCACTGAGAACAACTTTTCTCACAGGAGACGTTTTGACATGTCACAGCAGCAAAACAAAGGAATAAATACATATTATATACTGAATATTTATTACCATCATTATCCATTTCTATTACAGTTAGTGGAGGGATGATGGATGGGTTCCATTTAGCTGCTCCAGTTTTGAAATATAAATATATTGTTTGAAAAATTATTCAAAATTGATCACAGCGGAACTAGCTAAATATTTAAAAACCATGGAACCATGGTGGCTGTGGCTGAGGGGGGTTGGGTGGTCTGAGCAGAAGACAAGACATTTAAACAGAAGCGTAAATAGCTTCTCACTTTTTTGACATTGCAAACGAAAGATTTGTAAATATTCCCTTTAAATTTCTAAGCCTGCAGATAATAACTGACTTTTTAAGAGCTTGAACATGATCAGAAACCAGTGAGCCTTTTATGAATGCATGTTCCAGGAAAGAGTTTAATGTTGATTTAAGGGCTTTTGTAAGAATGATTCATCAATTTACACATAATGTGCAAACAGACCTGTTTTAAACTCCATCATCAGACACTCGAGTGTCTCTCTGCAGGTCTGATGAGCTTGGGCGCCCCCTGTCAGCAGATTCAGCTCCACATGTTGAGTGAGCTGCTGAAAACCAACAACAACACAATCACTTACCAAGACTTAAAGAAACAAATACAGAGATTAAGGTGAAACTAAACATTTACTTTGCTTGATATTTGTGCAATATTGTTTGTTAACAGCGTGTTTGTGTGTTCGTTTGTCGTCATTAAGTCACAGCAGCGCAGGGGTCGACACTCTGATGTCAGAGGACGTCTCCGGTTTGAAAACCTGTGATCATGATCGGCCAGTAAACCCTCACAGAGACAGGTATCTACTCCACAACAACACGAATGAAGAAGAAATACAAATGAATTTATAATCTATAAATCACTTGCTCCATAAATGAACTGAAAACCCAAAGGCCCGTTTTTTTGTTTTGTCTGACCAACTGTTCAAAACATTACAATTTTGACTTGGTCCTGTTGTAGGATCATGAAATACAGAAAATTGGAATCTGAGAAGATGTAGTGGTCAAATATTTGTCACTTTTTTGGGGAAAAATTAAACAATCAGTGACCCAAACAAATTATTTAAGTAGCCTATATATTTAAATATCTATAAAATATATTCAGCACAATATCATTGTTTTTTTCCCCCTTTTCTTTCCCATTAATCATCTCATGACCCCTTATATTTATCTTGTGACACCTTGGTTTGAAATCACTGCACATAACTAACTCTGTATAAAGTATATAAATCCCACTGTTGCTTTTATTTAGAGCAAATGAGAGAAACAGATTCAGCATCATGTAAAATAAGATAAAGCCACAAAACCAGACATTAAATGTGTCCCAGAGAAAAAAAAACACTTGTCTCTGTGATGGCGTTAAGCCACAAACTGCAGCGTGTGTGAGGTTAACCAGAGTTATTTCTGACCTCCAGCTATCAGCAGTAAATCACACTGTGACCCACCTCCTGCAGTCTGATCCCCAACGTTTCAGCTCGGTGACCCGACAGCTTCACAAACACAGGAGACCTCACTCAGGCCTTCAGACAGGTGCTGGTGCCTTGTTTCAACTGGCTGCCATAATTGTTTGTGTGCATGTGTGTGTGTGTGTGTGTGTGTGTGTGTGTGTGTGTGTGTGTATGAGACAGTATAGCTGCTACATTTTACATCTTACTGGTGTTTGTTATTGCATTTCAAAAAAGAAAGTCCAATATAGTGCTTAAATTAAATGGTTCATTTGGAAAATATGCATTAAAATGTAAAAATCAGGTCTCTGGCTGTGTGAAGGAACATGATGAAGACACAAAGCAAACACTGGGGGGTCAGTTCTCAGAGGAGTAAAATGGCAGCTTTTATAGAGACAGGTCCAGGTGCACGCTGTCAGCACAGGTGACCTGAAGAAACAAGGTGCACCCTGGGCTGCGTCCAGCTCAGACAAAGGTTGCAAAACATTTATTTAAATGTAAACAGTGGTGTATTTCACATACAACAGAGCTCTAACACGGATAACATGGATTTAAATATTATGTAAACACCAAGCAGAAGCTGCTGCAGAGAAAGTCCAAGTGTGAATGTAACTATAAACTAAACTAAACTGTGTTTCCATCCACCTGTGGAAACAGGAATACAGGGAACAGGACATTTTAAAGACAAAATATGGGGAAATGGCAAATCACAACTCAGTAGTAAGTTGGTGTCTTGATAAAAATAATTTCCCCTAATATTCACATACTTGTTCAGAAAATAAATACTAAACAGGGTGAGACATCAGACGCCTTTATTGTGAAGATTAGTCCTGGAGATTCAGTCGTTCTTCTGCAGCAGACATTAAGAGAAACCTTTGACTCATTTCATTCATTTAGAAAACACGTTGGTTATGAGGCAAATCCAATAAAGTTTATTTCAAGAAGAAATTCTTTGCTCGTTTTGATGTAAATATGTAATAAAGCTATTACATTTTTATGAATCAAAATTAACAAACAAGAATTTTCGAATTCTCACAAAAGTAATTTTCAAAATAATTCATTAAATTGTCAAAAATATTTTTCTGCGTTGTTCATTAGATTTGTCTTCATGCAGAATTACTGATTTATCTTTTTAGAAAGTGCGGTTTTGGTTTGCGCCTCCGTAATCATCTCTATATTAAACAGAGCACATTTGATTTGACTGAGCACAATGTGAACTGAATGTTATGTGCAGATATGAAAAAGACATTCCAGGGTTTATGAAACATGTCATGTCAGGTTGATTTGTGATTTATATCATATTTGTATTCTCAAAGCTTCACAAACTCTTGTTAACTGTCACCTCCACACAGGTTCATCCGTCTGACTGTCAGACTCATCCCCTTCGACTCCTTCACGGAACATCCTGCCAACTTTGAGGTGGTTCTGTCGAGCAGCTGCAGAGTCTTCAGTCTGATCCGGATCATCCAGGACCGAGTCGGTATCCAGACCTCCAGGCTGGATGTTTTCAGGAGCAGAGCGGCCGCAGAGGAGGTCCGCCTGCCTCCAGAGAGCTCCCTGGAGGAGTGTGGCTTCAAAGGAGGAGAAGAGGAGCGACCTCCGGAGGAAACGGTGTACTACGACTACAAACTGGAGTTTACAGACTGTCCGCTCCTCAACTGTGATCACTACTTCAGGTCCAAACCAGAGTCTGGGGCCAGGACAACCGGAGACTGTTGGTAAAAGGGTTTTGGCCACTGCTCCACTCTGGTTAAAATATTCTAACAACTACTTCATGTTTCAGGCGTTTACATTCACGTTTCCAAGAGAATTGATTTTGGTAATCCTTTAACTTTCATTCTCATGCCATCGTGCCTATCGTCTGTAATTGTGGCTTGAATGTTTTACAACCATCTGTTACATTCATGTTCGGCTCAGGATGAATTGTAATTTGATCTGTTGACCTTCAGTCTGGTGCCATTATCTCGTCAAAAGTTGCATTCTATAAGATATAAAGGTACTTTATCACGATCAGTCTGGTTGTTGTGGTTTAAACTGGTTTGTGGACCCATGAAATGTATCAAGTTTAAGTTCATGTCAAATTCACCGTCAAAATCATTTACTCGTGTCTGAACACGATAAATATTTACCAGGTTGGTTGTTCAGACTTTACAGGTCCAGTGTAACGATATCAGGAGGATATATTGGCAGAAACAGAACATAATATTCATAATGATGTTTTTGTTCATGAACAATCATCTTAAACTAATGATTGTTGTGTTTGTGTTGAGTCTGCTTTGTTTCTACAGCAGCCCAGAATGGACAAACCAACCACTGGCTCTAAAAAGAGCCTTTTGATTTTTCTGTGTTACCTGAAGACCACCATAGACTCCCCTACACACATAAAGAAGCAGAGTGAGGGGAGGGGCAGTCAGTTGCAATCTGCAACCTAACCCCTAGATGTCACTAGATCCTGCACACTGAAGCTTTAACCTTACATTTCCGACATTGTCAACATAAATATCAAATGTTTCCTTTGACTTAAACTTTGACAAATAGCTTTAAATTTGATCTGACAGAACCCTCTGAAATAACATCACGTCTCTGTGGTATGTGTTTATATATAGCTCCTCCTCTCAGCTCCTTTACTGTCATCTGTTAGTAACTGGAAAACTTGTTTGTTTGATCCAACTTATTCGTTGTAGCTTGACGAGGATTTGTATTTGCAGGGGTTAGAAGATTTTTTTTTACTAACCAGTGAACTCTGATAAACTTCCACATGCTTTTAAGTCTTAACGGCCTCTTACCGAAAAAGGATTTGACTTATGAGGCTGCTGTTAGTAAGTTCTGAAGCGACTCTCTGACTAAATTCCACGCTTGAATCTACATCAATCAGTCTCCTGTATGGATGAATAAATATGAACATGCATCTCAAGCAGCAGTTCAGAAGTGATCACTGACGCCTGCTGCGAAAACACACACTTCTCTGCACAATCAGGAGAGTTTGGTCTTAAAAGAGGATTTACTGTGTGTCTGAAAGCAGCAGGCAGCTTCACACTCAGCACCTTGTGGCCTGTTTTCACTTTAATTACACACTTATGTGTCTTCACAGGGATGTAATTTTAGCCAGAGTGTTCAAATCTTTATGCCAGCATAAAGCAGTGTTTTCAGTTGTGGCCTCAGGGGGCCACAGAGGTTCAACTGTGCTGTGTTGGAGTCAGTGGAAAGTGCTTGGCTGGTGGAAACCACACAGCAGCTATAAACAGCGGCTGGTGGTGTCCGCTAAAGCGTGCCATGCAGCCGACACACCCAGCAGCCTCCCCGCTGCTCCACCCAGCACAAGCTTTTAAATCCCAGCTGCACATGTAATTCACTGCAAAACCTTCTGCAAAACCACCAGTGTAAAGTCAACAAGAGAGCAACGTTTTCAGAGAGAAAATAGTCATTTATTCAGAAATACTGCTAAACATAAATATTTAAAAAATTGAATACTTTTTGTGTTTCAATAAAATTGAACTTTACTCAAACACTGTTTACGTTTGGGATAAAAACACAGACTTCAGGCTTCAGGAAGTAGTAGTTTGCAGTAGATTGTAGTTAATGAAAAAAATCACATAAGCTCACAAAAGGCTGTTGGTTGATTGGATTCTAACTTCATGATTTGGACCCAATCTACAGACTGAAAAGCTTTTAAGGAAGGTCCCTCAATATTTATTAATAGATGTTTCTACAGAGGAAGTTCATTTCAGACTGTCGCATTTTAAAAGAATGTCTTTCATTTCTGAAACTTGAGCTAAAATACAAACTTATGGCAGTGTTTTAGTTTTATGAAAATATATATTTGGCGTTATCGTCCAGTTGTTTTCAAGTTGTGAACACAACACAGACATTTCATCACCTTACAACTTGCATATTTACACATCCAGCACTTACAGAACATTATCATTAGTTAGGAGTCGTGCTTGTGTCCCACTGATGAATACAAGTCCCATATTTACTCTTTTATCTCTGTGTTTGGTCTCCACCACCTCTAGATGGATTCTTCTAAGCTCTTCAACAGTTTCTGCATGATGTTTGATAATGAACAGTGGTTTTTTTGCAGAAAAAGACACTGTGATGGTGGTGAGAGTGAACTGAGACAAAAGGTTTCATTCAGACACATCTTAACGTTTGCATGACACTCACTGTACAGCTTCATAAAGATGAGGGAAACTGCAGATTCCCGTAATTCTCTGGATTTTCTGAAAACAAGAATATAGTCTATGTGATATCATCTGCATTTTCATGTGTGTTGGATGCAGAATGCTGATCCTGCCTTAACAGACTAAATGACAGGGTAAGATGTGTTTTTTTTATTTAATCCTGTTACAGACATTTTAAAATAGCCGTAAAAACCATTATTTAAGCCATTTACCCAGACATGAACGATCCTGCAGCAGCTCCTCAGACAGAATGCTGTTTTCAAATGGATGTTTTAAGTCTGCGAACAGCCACAGACAGTTATTTTCCTAGTTGGTTTATGAGCACAGAGAGAAGCCTGACACAGGTTGTTTATAGGCCAGAAAGAAGCTGTGACTGCAAAACAACCTTTTAAAAACGTATCCTCACCCTCGGTCTGCCCACAGTCTGTGTTTGGTATAAGCAAAATGAGTCAGTCGTGCTGCTTGGGCTGATTGTCTTGATGCTTTTTACACACACACACACACACATACACGCACACACACACACACACACAGCTCTACTTAACAATTACTCTGAAATAAGAAGAAGGGAGTGTGTTTTCCTTTGGTCGGAGAATCCATCCTCTGACAAATACTGACTTTGGATGCAAGAGGAAGGATGAACCCGACGTCCTCCAGGATTCCCAGATGCATTTAATTGTCCCCCAACGTTTTATTTTTCTTCAGCATTTAGTCGAACCCTTGCTGCTCGCCTTTGAGTCGATCTTAGCGATGAGCAGTCTGAGCAGGTCTCCTGATGATCGAATCAGTTCTCTACCACTGAAATGAAAACACAAGACACTGGTTGGAAACACAGCATCACTGAGAAGAGGTCAAAACATAACGTAGACCTGCTTGTATTGATACTCACATGTTATACTCCATACCGACCAAGCTGATGCCATTAACAGCAAGGATGCGATCGCCCATTCTCAGTTTCTGACACTGAGCTGCAGGAGAGTCGGGAACCACTGACTTCACATAAATCCCACTCATTCTAAGTGGCGTTTTCTATAAACAGGAAAAAAGATTCCTGTTATCTGCAGAGACTGTACAGTGTGCACACTGAGGTAATCACTTCCAGACATTAGTGTTGATTAGATAAAATAAAAAAGGTAAAATATATAAATGTACGTCTTATTTGTTGATTTGTGTCCCAGTGTTAGACAAGAAGCTTAACATCTGTCGTACCTAAATGACGAAGGTGAGATGTTGATGTGAAAGAACTGATGTTGGACAACTTTGACTTAACCTCCATACCGTGGTGTTGACGGAAAAAGTTAGTTTTTTTTCCAACAACAATAAACACAGCACACCAATAGCTGTTGAAATGTTTAATATAAGCTGTTAAATGTATGAAATGGACCAATACACGGTCTATGTATCCAAATGTTATTGGGAGAGGAAAAATGTTATTAGAATATCTAACATTTCTAACGCTATAAACTGTCTGATTAAGATTCTGTTGATGATATTTTAAGAGCTGCTCTCCTGTTAAAATAAAGTGTATCATACCAGCTCTTGCCCAAGAGACTGAACTGTATGATCATCATTGTGACAACGTGTGTCGCTGTGTAGTTTCAGTGTGTTGAGATCAAATCCCTCCACTATGGTTTGATTTGATTCATCTCTTACATGAGATCTGAGCAGCTACACAAGGTTTTTCTTTGCTACTCTTGTGGATGTAACTGTTTGAAACCATGAGACTCCTGAAGCCTCTGATCTGAAACAATCCACCTAAGAGCTGAACTCTGTAAACTGCTCAAAGCAGAGTAACAAGGGAGAGAGGACTGAGTTGGTGGAGGATGGGTAATATCAGGACCGTACCGTTCCATCTACGAGCGCCAGCCCAAGACCATGAGGTCCTCTGTGAAGCTCCACCATGAGCACCTCCTCTCGCTCCTCTTCTTCTTTTTCTTCCATTTTTTCTTTCTTCTTCTCAACACATCCACTCACTGAAAACAGAGAAACACATAATCATATCAAATAAATGTACTCTTAGATTCGATTAATAATATGCTGATTTAGTTCAAACATTTGGAGACCTCCTGTGTAACAGCAGGGAATATTGTATACACAATTAAAACACAATTATGCTCACAACTTAATGGCTGTAGTGTGAATACATTCAAACATCCACAGGTAAGTGTGATCCTGGTCAACATTTAAAAATAACAAAAAAGTAATGATATAAATGTGCCAGGAATGTTTTTAGATCAACCACTGATTATAGATTGCAGTGAATTACTGTATCTGCATTCTACCCGTTAACACTGACGTCTGACCAGCCCACTAGACACATTGGTTTGTGAACTACCACCAAGCCTCAAGTTTGGCATTTTGTCCAGTGCCATCTTGGTTTTTTTTCGAAACCAGAAGCAACCATTATAAGAGGAGCAGGGGTGGAGCCCGACTGAGAGCTTGAGGACCATGATTTACAAAATGACTGCAAGAAATCAGTGGCCTATTTTTTTAAAAAGAAAACAGATTTCAAGCACTTCTGTATTGGCTTCACTTTCAAGACCCAGAGTCTACGTCTGATTTTATATTATAGTCTATGGTGGAAACACAATGACTCTCAAAACATGAGTAGTAACTGGTAGTACAACAATAGCAGAGCTCCAGCTAATGATCATTTTCAATATTGACTTATCAGCTGCTGAACAGTTAATTCAAAAATACTGAATATAAGTTTGCAGTGTGATGCCTTCAAATGTCTCAAGTTTAAAGACATATTGTACGAATGGTGGCAGGACAGCAAACTA